TATGGCAGAAAGCTGACAAGAGTCCTATTTAAGAGAGGCTGTATAAATCAGCAGACCTTAGGAAAGATTTACATACATTTGCATATAAAAAAGGAAACAGGATCTGGAAAGAAGAAATCCAGAAAGATGAATAATAAAATTTGTCTTCCAAGTAACCAATAAAAATGAACATTCAGACAAGCCCGAGATTTAGCTCAGCCACATACGCACTTGCCTGGCAGCATGAAGCCGTGTGTTAGACCCCAGCACCAGAAAAAAAAAGTACTTTCAGAACACAAAAATTAACCAGAATTCTGTTATTTTCAGAATAATACCCATTGTACTGTATTTATGGGTGATGCTCTGTTCTTTCTCAACAAATTTAATGTTTTAATGTTTTCTGATTTTATTTTTACAACATGCAATATATATATATATATATATATATATATATATATATTCAGAAAATAAAACATACACTGAAATTGAAAATAAACTACTAGCCTGAAAAAGTCAGAGTTTGCATTTTGGTTCATACCCTCCCAGAGTCCCTCCCCTACCCACATTCTTGAAGTTGTTTACATTGACTGAAATGGAAATGGAGCCAGGTTATTCGAATGATGTACACAGAAATTTAACCAAACAGATCCTGTTAAAACTCTCTGATGGCTGTAGGGATTCTCAGCTGCTCCTCTGAGGAGCCTTCCCACTGTGCCCTTGCTCTGAGCACTGGAGCGGGGTCTTTGGAACTCACTCAGCTTTGAGCCTCATCCCTCTGCCAGCCTGTGCTCTACAAAAAGGTGGAGTGATTGATCCCTGCATGAGTCCCCTTACATTTATTCAGCACTCTCCTCTTATCACCCCTCAGGGAAATACATTTGAGAACAACCAGAGACTTTCCCCAAAAGGAAACAATAAGTAGGTTATAAGGTGAAGCAAATGTCGCTCTTCTTTGATGACCTCATTTCCATTCATTAAATTACTGTAGCACATTAGAATAAACACACTGGGCAATTTTAGTGCCCCAGAAAATTGCCTTCCCCTTAGGGAAATTCATCTTCAGTTAGTAGGAGAATAAAGGGACTTTTTTCATATTTCTAAGAACAAAAACATAACATCAGCTTTAGGTATCATTTATTAAGTATCTGAAATTTTGATAACTTTATGTGGCTTCAACATCCAGCTGGAATATTGGACTTCCTCACACCAAAAGGAGCCAGTCTCTAGTTCTACCCTTACCCCAGTTCCTTAGTGTGGCCAATCAGTTATTCAACTTACTCAACTGCTCCCCAGGACCCTCCCTCAGGAGAGCTAATGCAGCCTGCATGACTGATCTCACTAAACTGCACACCTCACATGTCACAGTGACCACCTGCCTACTTTAAACCAGCCATTAATACTCCCCTTGGGAACTTATTTGAATAACATCTCCTGATCTGTCTCTCTTCCTGACCTCTGTGTATAAATGGCTGTTGGGTGTGCTGTGTATCCTCCAGGACCTGTAAGTAATACAACTTTTATATTTCCATCTTGTATCTTTCCAACTCACTGGAGAGATACTCTCCATCTTAGAGATCCTGAATTAAAACATTAGAGAAATGTATAAAGCATTTACTTCTATTATCTGTCTTAGTCTACACAGAAGTGCTAGAATGAAGGTATGGCTTAGTTCATAGGAGTATGACCTAGAGTCAAGGGCCCTGGCATCAAATTCTGTCTCTGGTATTTATAAACTGTACTTATGAGCAAGTTGTATAAACACCTGGTGTCTCAGATCCAAGTTGATAAGTGGGGAAAAGTAATACAGCAGAAGACTTAGAACAGTGCTTGGTATACATGATGAATGTTCAAAATGTTTTCAGTGATCATTGTTATAATTTTTCCCATTTTATAGCAGAGGAAACTAAGGTTTAAAAAGCATGTAATCCGCCCTAAGTCACTGAGCTAATCCAGATCTTTGGACTGTAAAGGCCAACATTGTTGTCTGTAGTCACAAGCAGTCAGCAGTAAAAGCAGCCATGGAATGGGAGGTCAGATCCCTAAATTACAAGCTCTCTCCCCTCCACACCACACACCAGAAGTACAGAAAGCATGGGCTGCTGTGCTGATTTCTACAGACTAATATATCTGAAATGTTATTTTATGATGAAAGGATTTGTCTAGATGTGAGCTTGAATAAAAAGCTTGGCACACAATCTTCATGTATACAACCTTGTATACAAGTTGATCGAAACACATGATTAATGTTTACATTTTTAAAAACATTGAAGCAAAAGACACATTGCCATTAATCCCTTTCAAAATATTTCCCCTTGCTTCAAACATACTTATCTCCCCATTCTTGCCACTTCCTGTGGCCGTGCTGGAAGCCCTCTTTCATATCTTTACAAGGAGTGATCAAAAATATAGTGAATGCTGGTTCCGTTTGTCCTCCAGTGAAAAGGAAGCCTTGTAAAAACATTACTGTGTGTGTTCTCATCCACTTTTCTTACTCGATCTGGCAGCCTGTGACTTCTGTATATTCTCCATAGTCAGTGATCACAAAAGATAAACTTTCTCAATTGATTCATCTAAGCAACCATGACAGCACAACTGAAGACACTCACAAAACAGGACTTCTAGAACTGCCTTAGAAACTGGCAAGAATGTGGAGAAGTGTGTTCAAAGCAAGAGAGAATTTTTTGAGGGAAAGTAATGACAATGTATTGTTTACTGTAATTTTTTTTAAAAAATTTAAACATTCACTATTTTTTTATCACACCTTGTATATAATGAAACAGCCTTCCCTTTGTCCTGGAGTCAAAGCATTGAATGTGGTGGTGTGGCAGGGTCAGCTCTGGAGAGGAAAGTGCTATGCAGTGAGAGGAAACATACACTCTGGTTTACTCAGGAAGGGCAATAAAACTCCTCTCCCTACCCCTGACCTGTAATATTGCTTAGGTTTTACTTACAGGCTGGAGTCTGCTCCCATCTCCATAGAAACCACAGGTCAAAGGTCTTTCATCTCAGATACACTGTGCAACCCTAGTCTGCTAACACCTGCCATTACTGAAGTTTTCTTGATACTTTCTTCTTTGCTCATAAAGCAGGAGGAAGTGTGTGGGGGGAATAAAAAATAAAATCTCAAAGTAACTACCTTTTAATGAGTCAAGACTTTGCTTGTTCTGAGGCTTTATACTTCTCATGGGGTGCTAATTTCCTGTGTAGAAAAGTATTCTATTTTAAAAGTGGTTCATTTTCATAGCAAAACACACTCTGATTTCCAAAATTATAATAAACAGTTTTCTGAGTACCAGGCTAACCCACTACAGTGACTGTCCTACTGTTCTGTTTACTTAGCTCCAAACCAATGGCATCAAACTAGTTCGTGCGGCCTTCTTAAGCTACCAGTGACACTTTGGAGCATGAGTTATAAAATTGTGTTTCACAGAGTTCCACCAACTTTTTATCTTTGCCCAAAGAACAACAATAGGCCCAAAGAGAGCCTATTCCTGCAGCTCAGATCCTGGCAGAGAGAAGACGTGTACAACAGACTCTGTACACACCAACAAATGTACTGTCAAATGAGAAATACATTTTTGCTTTTGCAAGCCTCTGGCATTTGGAAGTTATTTGTTACTGTAGCAAAATCTAGAAAATCTTAGCTACTATATTCACTAAAGCCTATTTTGTTTTGTCTTTTTTTTTTAACTTTTTACCAGTACCGGGGATCGAACTCACCACTGCCTGCTTGCAAGGCAGGTGCTTATGCTGCTGAGCTAAAAATCCCCAGCCCCACTAAAGCCTATTTTGACCACATTGATCTAGAATATTACGTTTGCAATTTTGTCCATGCCCTATACTCTGAGTAACTATACTTTTAAGACTGTGATACACAATGCCTTAATTATTATTACTGTCTTATTATTTTGTTCAGAATTTTATGTTTTCATACAGTAAAAGATCACTGAAAATAACACTTGCAGTGATCATAGTCACAATTAAAAAAGAAAATGGAATTGAGGCTAGCTAGAGTCAAGGCATCTCTGTGTGACTGATAACATTTTGTTACTATTCAAATGCAAACTGTCCCTGGGTATCTTCTAATGCCTGTGGGCACATTTTAGCTCCCCTATACAATGTAGTTTTTATCCTAATCTTTTCCCCTTGTCTAAACCACATCTTTCAACCAGAGAAGTTATGTTTCCTCTTTTTAGCATCACATTTAGAACTTTTGCTAGCCTCATGACCTGGTCCTTTAAATGTATCAGGGCAAAGGCAACTGCAAAGCAAAAGCTAAATTCAATCTTGCACATCAATCTGGAGACAGGTTACCGACAGATATAAAGTTTACTACTGCTTTTTCTTCTAAACTTCGTTTTGGATTTTTGAAAAAATTCTTCAGTCAAATAAAGGTATAGCTAAATCACCTATTAGATCTTTATCTATACTGTTTCAGAATGGAAAAAATAAAGTCGAATGGCAAACAACAGGAATATTTATATTCAAAAAACTCTCTTTGTAAGCATGGACTTTTAGAAAATGCAATAATATTTAAACTTATCTGCTCAATCTAAATCCTGGGTGGAATACAGAAAAAAGAATTTTGGAAGGCCTATTCATTTCAGTAAGAAGGTATGTGGATGACAGGACCAGTAATTAAGTACTAGTGAAGTCTGAAACACTTAGCTCTGGGTACAGATTACATACGCACATACACAATTGCAATCCATTAAATGGTATCTAATATTAAATATCATTGTATAAACATATACGCCCTTCAGGATTTACTCTGACCACTGTGCTTTCAATTTCCTTTTAAGTCAGACTTTTGTGATAAATTACCCTGTTTTATATATTACACACAGGGCTCAAATTTCTGACAACTGCATCTCATCTTATGCTCCCAAAGTGTCAGGTTTCAAAGTCAACGCGGCTGAAATGAGCAATGGCCTGAGCAGCAGAGCATGTCTGCTGGGTTGCACAGGACAAAGACAAATGCAAGGCCCTCCCAGCTCAGTGAAACAGATGTCAGGACTCACCAGATATTGGGTAAAAATGGAAACATCTTCCGTGCTGTTGTCAGAGCTTATTCTCAGCAACCTCCCAAATGTAGGGGAACTTAGAACTCTAAAAGTTACAGTTCTGTTTCCTGCACTGTGTACATCATTAGTCACAGCCTTCAGGTCTTGAGATGAAAGGGGCTTCATTGAGCCTAAGATTAAAACACGTATGTAAGTAGAACACATAGAAAGGCACATAGGAAGTCTATCTGTCAGCAAAGCAATTTTTATAGACTCCTGAAACTTCTTGGAAAACATATGGTTATGAGTGTGGGGAATGCCTAGCTTTAACTTGACACTGGGCTATAAGGTGCTAGTGATCCTTGAGGCGTCTATTTCTGGGCATGATTGCCTACCAGCAACGTAGGAGAAACTTCTTACCACCCCACTCTGTCTTCCAGCCCAGGCCTGGGTGTCTAACTCATCCCTAGCAATGGTATGTGGGTCCTGCTCAGCCCAGGGTATATAAAGGGAAAGCACCTCATGTAGTGCTGAGGAGACAAGAGACAGTCCCTTCCCCTTGGAGAGCAGAGGTTTGTTCTTGCATGAATGTGAGGCATCTCCTGGGGACCCCATTGCCTGCATGTTTTATGGACCTTGGGGAGAGCAAAGGCCCATGTGAAAACAAGAAGTGAGAGGCTGGGGTGGATGACACATGGGTTTTGATGCTAATGTGGCCTCACTGGTAACCAAAGGCCAAAGTGGGTTGAACCATTTATAGTACAGCAATACTCCTTAAATATTCTATGGTGAAGGATCAGTATTTCCTTTCTAGTCCACGGTGGAACAATATTTTATAAAATACAATAAAAATGTCATCGCAATGTCAAATTACTATAAAAATTTGTAAATACTTTCACTGACTTTCCATTCTTATCAGTCCACAGACTGGAAAGTACCTGGATCACACTTATAGGAACACAAAATCAAAGTAAACACCTTTCCCGTTGCCCAGCCTCACAGGATGAAGGGTCTGAAGCAGATTTCCATCCTTCTTCTGACCCAGCATCTTACCTCACCCCTTCTGTTTCAGACTTGAATAAAGGGCTTTGGTGTTAGCCCTTCACAGGGTGTCTTTCTGAGTACACACTCCTAGGTTAATTATGACATTAAGTCAAGCGTGCAATAATAACTAAGCCTTCTGAATGATCCTGTTTTTGCTTTCCTTTCTCAGCCTTGGTAGTTTGAGAGCAAGGGTCACCAGATGCAGTGTTTAAACCACATTCAGCATGAGCCAACTACAAGAAGAAACCAGCTTTGGGTCTGGAAAAGTTCCAAACTTGCAAGGATTTTTATGAGCCTGCAATTTGAAGACTCCATTTAAAGTGTCTGAGCCTCTAAAACAAGCAGTAGGGTCTGGGGCTCCTGCGGGAGAGGATACATGAATGTCAGTCTCAGAAACATAATTCTGCCCCAAGTTCAGAACTGCCAAGGCACACGTTTGGTTATTACACAAAATGCTCATGTGATGCTTGTACTTACCTCCCACGTTCCTCTCACTTTTTGGTGCTAGTATTTTTTGCAATCATGGCTTTCTAGCTTCTGGAGCTGGGGGACCATGATGGAAAGTCACATCAGGGAGACCAAAAGGAATATTTCTGTGTCCCTAGTCAGTATTATAAAGTCATAACTGGGGTTCTTCCTGTCAAGGTGGGGTCCTCTCTTCCTACAGATAAGACTATGTCTTTTATGTGTGTGACCTCTGGACACCACCATTTTAACCTTCTCATCCTCAATTTCTCTTCAGAACACTTTCGCACAATGGCTTCTTAATTACCTCTCTGTTATGAAGAACCCTACTCATATTAACTCGTTCCCTTAGCTCCAAGGTTACCTTTGGAGGTGGGAGATAAAAGGAACTCTTTTTACAATATTTTTCTATCCAAATGATAGAAAAAATAGAAAATCAGCTTGAAAATATATCTATACTCTGATGTTTATTGTAGCACTATTCGTAACAGATAAGATATGGAATGGACTTATGTGCCTTTCACTAGATGAATGAAAACTGTGACACCTATACACAGTGGAATGCTACTTGGCCAAAAAGGGCATGAAATCTTGTCATCTGCAGCAACATGAATGGACCTGGAAATCATATTAACTGAAATCGGACCAGCACAGACAGATAAATACCACATGATTTCATTTATATGTGGAATCTAAAAAAGCTGAGCTCATAGAGAACAAAATAGCAGTTACTAGAGGTCATGATGGTTACAAAAGGGGATAGGAAGACACTGGTTAACCGGTACAAAAGCACAGTCAAATAAAAGTAAGTTCTGATATATGGTTACACAGAAGTGTGATTAAAGGCAACAGTGTTGCCGTGGGTAATACCAAATCACAAAGAGAGAGGATTTTGGATGAGTTTGTTATACACACAAGATCAATGTTTGTGATGGATGGATAACCTAAATACCCTGAGTTTACCTTTATACAACGTACACAGGTACAAGGGCATCACTGTACTCCATAAACACGTATAATTATGGTCAATTAAAAATAAAATTTAAAAATATTATTCAATTCATCATAGCCTTTTGGAGTACAAGATCCACCCAAGCTGTTCCAGATGAGTGCTTTCCACTCAGCAGGAGTATATCAGTTCCTCCCTGTCCTCTCCACTGTGGTTGCTGAAGTTTAATTTCCACCCAGTCATTGCTCTGAGTTGCTCAGGTAGTAAAACCAGTTTACCCCATGTCACAACTGCCTGACAAACACCTCTTACTGGCCAGCCCAACACAGCCAAAGCTAAACACTGTCCCCTCTCACTTCATTTTAGAATAGCAGTTGATGTTTTCACCAATGAATTCCAGGCACATAATTAGGGAAGAATTTCTATGAAGTCCCACATAAATCTTTATCCACAGAATAACTGTTGTTCAGTATAGAAGTCCTCAAGGGGCTCAGTCCCACAGCTCTCTGGCAAGCCCTCGTTCTACACATATTTCTCAGAGATTTAAAAAGCAAACCAGTACATTAAAGCCTGTGAGAAGACTTCGGTAAAGAAATCCATTTTATTCTTCTTTTAAACACTATTTCCTAAACATTCTTTTACCCCAATTGTTTGTTTCACGAAAAACAACCACCACTACAACAACATCAAGAGTTTCAGGATCACAAGGCTTGGAAGCCTCATACATTTCCTCAACAAATATTGTTAAGGACCTAAAACGTGAAAAGCCCTACAACCAGGAGCAAAAAATACAAATTGAGCACACAGCATCCAAAATTCCAAAATTCAAAATGCTCAGAAAGCTCCAGCTCAAAAAGCTGACTCCACAAATGGAAATTTCTATATTGGACCTCATATGATGAGGTAGAATCAAAAATACAACCACAAAAAAAACTGTACAAAATTATCTCAAGCTTTATGTACAATGTGTACATGCAACATAAATGAATGGCTAACCCCCAAGATGCCCCACTGTATGATGTATGCAGATATTTTTCTAAAACACCACTTTTGATATCAAGCATTTCAGATGAGAGATACTCAGCTTGTACCAAGAAACCAGCATGGACACAGTGTTTGTCTTCTCCTTTGTATACCACAATAACTTTAAGAAGTGTACAACTATTTCCTTATTACTAAGAAAGGATGTAAGAAACCTATCTGATGGTCAAATATAAGTCATGCTGATTCAGAAGTATTTTTAACGCATCACTATATTGCTTATAAAACTCTGGAACTTAACAGCCAACATGATATCTGAGTTAGGAAATAATGTGACTAGCCATTCAGTAGATCTGATAGATTTCTCCCCACTTCTAAAACACATTCTTCTCTTCCTTGGTCTTCACTCTGCAATTACACTACTTTCCCTGGCATGCTCATCCTTTCTCATCAGCACTTGATACAGTGCTGCTTAGCGTGCGAGGGCAGTTTAAGGCTTGTTTTGGTGAATAGGCTCTTCCTGGTCCCCTCCAGCCCGTGAGACATCCATGTACCACTCACTGTACCACCCTATCTGTACCACTCACTAGATACTTAACGTAATATGTTCTGCATGGTTACTATATTCTTGAATGTAAGTCTGATTTCATTGATTAGTAAGCCCTTACTAATTTCTTTGAGGATTGACCATCTTTTTTTACATCTCTTGGTCATCTCCTTCTAAGTCTTACAAGACCTCCTGGCCAAAAGGTTTTATCAATCTTTGCTCTATATTCCTCCACAACACACTGAGTCCCTTCTCCCTTCTTCTCTCCTTCAATTCCTACCACAGGTGACAGATGGTATAGTAACAAGATGTTACTCCCTCTATATCACACCAAAGACAATGAAGTCATAGTTTGCCAGGAAGACTCTGCTCGTGGACTACTTAACTCTGGGTGTATGTAAGCTTATATTTTAGACTAGACCATGGTAGAAAATCTTGCAACGTGAATCCCTCTAACATTGAAGGTAACACTCCTTGAAAAAGAACCAAATACACTTTGTATAAACAGAAGAACTAAATCCTAAGGCTATAGTGTATTCTAACATCTATCACTAAAGATAAATAAACAAAATCAATAGTACCATTCAATGTGAAAAACTACTACAATATTTTTTCTAAGAAATGAATCTTGCAGAAATAAAGTATGTTTCAATAAAATAAAATATATATATACACATACATCTTGCACACACATATGTACATATAATATAAATGTGTATTTATACATATTTATTCAAAATATATATGATACAAAAAGCCAAAAAATAACAGAACAAAAATATTTTTATGTAGATTTCTTAGTTCACAAAAAAGAATTGAATTTAGAACTAGAATATGCCTACATTAAAATAACTGAGGTAAAAACTGATTTTCAATTTGATACGGCATGGGTAACCTTAAAATATTTACCACACTATGTATTCTAATAATTATTTTGGCTTAGCATATAAATTCTTCCACATCTCAAGCCAGAGCCACTTTTTAAGACTAACTGCATAAAGGAGCCAAGACAGAAATAGCTAATGTCGTGTGAGTTGGCAAAGAAAGGCTGAATGATATGGAACCAATGTGAATTTTATAAAAATTTATTTGTGTTAACTAATGCCAAGTGGCACTATTTCTTTAGCCAACCTGAATAAATCACATATTCCTACATAATCATTTCTCTATTAAATTGCTATGCACATTTTTCTGCTTGTGCATGCCAATACCTCAGTAACACTGAAAAGGAGACAAAAATAAACAGCTACCATGATGGCCCATTCTCAGAGAACTGACCTTGCGAAACAGAGACAGTCCCAGAACATAAAGGAAAGGAGTTGACAGATGTAAGCACCACATTTGGAGTCAGATTTTGCATTCGATCTTGGAGTTTATAAGTCCTGTCAGTTAAATGACCTTAAACCTTTCCAAGCCTCTGGGTTTTTTTAGCTGTCAAATGGGGGTGGGTCAAAACTTGCATTTACATACATTATCTCATTCAAATTCTTACAGCAAACCAGTGTAGTAGGTTAAAATTTTAAAATACCATAAAATATGGAATATCGATACATCTGAATTTCTAATCTGTAGTAGAAATAGATTTCCTATTTTTAAAATAGATCTAAAATTCTGCAGTTCTAAAAAAAGGAATGCATTTTCCCTGATAACTTAGAACATCTAATTCTGAACATATAAATTCCCAAGAGCTGACAACCTGATATCTGAAATCGCACCCTGAGGCAGGACACCAGATGCTTCTCCCTAGAGGTCCATGACACTAGAGGGTGCTGGTTGGGCATCATAAAGGAAGAAGAAGAGTGGACCTCTACTGTCATCACCCCACAGCTTCATGTGGCAGCAGGGACCAACAATACTTGGGTGACAACTGTAGAAGCCAGGTTGAGCAAACCTCAGCGGGGTCCCTGGAAGACAGTGGCATGGCCATCCGAACAATGCTTAAACAACAGAGTAGGTCACTGCTACTTGGGGGATGTCAGGTTATAAAAACCACAAAGAACAACTGGATCTGATGACTCATAAGGTCTATCCCAACTGTAAGATTTCTAAGATCTGTGATGCCACAATTCTCATTTCTACACTCACTCAACTTGAGAGTCTATCAAGTGTAAAAGCCACCCAATGGACATGTACATGAAATCTGTCTTTCCTCCTGCCAGGAGCTGGAATAGAAAACAAGGCGCTCTGTAGGGACAGAAGGTGACACAGAAACCAAGAATACCAAAATAGCTAATGAGCTCAGGAGAGCTTGGAAAAGGAGCGACTCACTTTGGAATTTGCAGACAACGTACAAGTCCTAGTAGGGAGTTCTTAGAAACAGAGGTAACACGGGAAGATGCAAGTCTCCTGGAAAAAGAAAAGATGATCGTTCAGGGCTGTGTCCAACATTAAACAGAGAACTCTGAAAATCATGTTCTTTACATTATTCTACAAAACTGACAAGAGAATGCTGTCTGCTTTAATATATTTTTCCTGTCAAATTAATATTCAGTAAAATAGGCACCATAAACTCAAAACTTTCTAAGCAGTAATGGCTCTATCCCTCATTTAATATAACTGTCCTCAATTACTAAACCAGACTTAATTTAGCCAGAAGAGATGAAAGGTATTTAACCCTTTGCAGTAGCCAGATTTACCTTGAGTTCTGAACCTTTAAAATAGACTACCATATTTTTCAGATTATGGATTCATTTGCTTATTTTTAAAACCAAATGGCACCTTAGTTACCTTGAAAAAATAACAGAATCATCACACTTATTCTCTAAAAAAAAAATTATAGAACAGAAAAAAGGCTTCTGAATAGAAAAACCTTGGTGAACATAACTTTTGGTTCATTTTGAAAGTTTCTTTACATGAACTCAAATACTGAAGACAATTAAAAACCTCCAAATTTCTCCTAAAAATAGTTTTTTAAAAAAAAAAAATTACAAGATGAAAATTCCCTCCACGTCTACTAACAGAAGTGTGAGAAGTCGCTACCCTTTACTTCTTGTGGGGTCTACAGTTACATTCTCTTTTCAAGTCATAAAGCCCACCAACTTCCCATGAATACATCACCAACCTCATGTCATCATAAGAACTATAGGACTAGTAGGATGTCTAACCTTCTGGATTCCAATCCTGATTCCATTTCAGATGCGAGAGGAATTTTTTAAAAAGATGATACCAAGCCCCATTTCAGAGATTCCCATTTGCTTGGTGTGAGACAAAGTCCAGGCATCACTACTTTTTAAAGCTTCCCATTGATTCAAACAAACGGCTACTATAACCATAATTAACTGCTCTCTTTTCACTGAGAGTGCTTATCATTTAAATAAGTCACAATGTTTTTGGCTTTTTTTTATCACCAGTATTTGGGGTACATTGAATTTTATTGTTTCCTGTACTTATACTTCAATGCTTTTTTTTTCTTTTTTGAAATAACAAATCTAACTCTGCTCCTTTTTTATTGCTCTTGCCATTGGGTAAACCTTTTCCCTTCTCCTTCCATGAAGGTGTTGGTCAAAAAGGCTCCCTTATATCTTTGCATGTTAGCCAGAATGACATTCTTGGCAAAGAGCCATCCAGAGACTGCAGGGCCCTAAGGCAAGCCCTGGCTGAAACCACTGCCAATCTAGGTTCGGCACAGGATTTTTATACTCAAAATACAAAACTTCAACAGAGTAGAGCAAGATGGGCATCACACAGCCTGGCTTTCTGTGGTTTTTCTAAGCACTGTAAGTAGAGAGTAGGGAAAAAGTTCTCATGGACTGTAAAGATACCTCTTGCTTGATTCCTCCCCACCGCCCTTCACTAGCACACTGTCTTCTGAGGAAGACAAATGAGGGACAGAACTGTTGCAGAGAGCCCCAGATTTGTTTCTGGCAGATCTTTTCGGGATTTTATAAATATTATTAGGATTGTTCTGTAGTAAAAGATGGTACTGTACAAGTAGAACTTTCTAAATAAACAGGAAAATACTCAAAACTCAAAAAAACTGGCTCAAGATAAACTCTTACCTGGAAAGATGCTCAGTCCTCTGTTTACTTCTAGGCTAAGGATCAGTGCTTGAGCGATGATGCTAAAGATTTGCTGGGGTGCAAAGTTCAAGCCATCAGTAACCTGAAAATAAAAGCCTCCTGACATTGCTCCTTCAAAAGAAGAAATTACACTCTGGTTAATTTGATTGCTTTGCAAAAGTCATCCACTTTCATCCCCTTCCCCCAAGAAGACCCCCTGTAAAACAAACCCTGTGTTAATACAATGACTAAGTTCACTGGATCAAATACAGTTGTGTCATGTAACATTTCTGTCAACAATGGACCACATATAGGACTCCATTTCACAATATTATGTGTATCATCAAAAGACATCAAAGCTGGTCTAATTTGTGTAAATACACTCTACAGTGTTTGCACAATGATGGAACTGCCTGATGACTCATTTCTCAGAAAAAAACACACATTATAATGAATGACTATATTGCCAAAGATATAAAGTTAAAACATATCAATGAAGAACTAAAATGAACATTCCACATCCTACAACAATAAAATGCAAGTGGTTTTATCTTTAAGAAACTAAAAAATTTTTAAACATATCCTTCACCTGAATTTTATTATCAATTTATACGAATAAGGCAGTGCAAGACTGTAACAAACAAAACACACATACACATACATAAATAATTTTTGCAATCTTAATAATACTATCAAAACTAGCAGGACACAAATAATACTTACCACCCCCTCCAAAGAGTTACATCTTCAATTATGCATTATCTCAATCTAACTATCCTGCGAAGAGGGGAAAGGAAAGGAAATGAAAGTCTTGCTTTTATTAAATCTCAGCAAGGAGAGAATTCCATTCTCACACATCTGTCAAGGGATTGGTGATATCAGTAAAGTTAACAATTAACATATGTGCATAACTGAAATTGAAATGGATTCTTATTGATTCAGTTCCCAGGGGTACTTTACCAATCTAACTCAAAGCAGTAAGCAAGACCATGATGCAGGCAGCTCAAGGTTCAGATCCCCATCACCCTTTGAAAATGACCATCCAGTGCTAAATTGGGAGCACTACAGGCCTTTGTTCTTGTACTGGGTAGAAATGTATCTTTGTGGTGCTCAGGAACATGTTACAAAGACTAAAGGAGGCATGGCCAGACTCCGCGATTATGAACCAGTAGGCTCTTAATAGCACCATTTAATAAGAGGTAGATCATTTAATAAGAGGTTGACAGTATTTCATTCCTGTTAGGCAAATCCTTTTAGAGTTCTGATTTCTCACAAAAGGTTACTAAAATTTTCCCAGATATATATATATATATATATATATATATATATATATATATATAAAGAGAGAGAGAGACAGAGAGAGAGACAGAGAGAGAGACAGAGACAGAGAGACCACTAAGTCTAATTCAGAACAGAGGTGCAAAATCAAATGCTGTTTTGCATTGTTTTTCTAGAAAGAGCATTTTAAAATTGTATTTTATGAAATTAAGGAGAGAAAGCTTTCTACCATTGGACACTTTGAATACTTCATGAATCCAGGCACAAGATGGAGATGAAATCAAAGAACATATGTCAAAATATATAGAATATTATATTGAGTGCATCCTAGCAGACTCCTAAAGACCAAAGAAAGAAAAGAAAACACAAAAACAAGATTGATCTGTACATTTTCTATTATACAATCTCAAAAATTTTCAACACTAGTACTTTTAGAAATGAAAATGATAAATCACTTAGCTTGGTTTTATCAATCTACTCAGGTTGTTATGTGGATGGTGAGTTAGATTAATGGCAGAGCACTCTGCAAATATAAAATGCTAAGAGAGGCTAATTAAGACTAAGTCTTTGTTTGGGGCTGTTGATGGACAAATGGACATGGAAAGCCAGCTGGTTTCAGCACCAGATTCATCTGGCAGTTGGCTCCAGACACTTAGCGTTATTAGCTCGCCTCAGTGTCCATTTAGGAAATGTAATGGATTGGCTCTCATGTTAACATTGCCTTTAACTCTCCTTCCTGTTTTCTGAGAAATTATTCTCCCTACTCACCAAGCAAATATTGACCTGATACTTGATAAATCAATCAACCCAGAGACCTACTTTTTATTTTAATATTTCATTTAAATAGCAACTTTAGTTCTTCAAACTGCTCTGGCCTTCAGTAAACTGGAACTAATGAAGAAAGCCCAGTTTTAGGGTCAAACCAATTGAATCTTTGTGAGCCTCAGTTTCTTCCTTGAAAATGGGGTTATAGGACTGGTGATTTAGCTCAGTGGCATAAGCACCTGCCTGGCAAGCACGAGATTATGAGTTTGATCCCCGGCACCGAAGAAAAAAAGAAAGAAAACAAAATGGGGTTATTATTCTCTACTGCTCATTTGGAGATGAAATTAAATTTTTTGCAGGAAAGAATAGATGACTGCTTTTCAGAATAGACAGGAAGGAGAATTCAGAACTTCTCTTATATAAGTCTAGAGCAGTTCTCTCCATCCACAAAATATGATAATCCTTTCATTTAAAAAAACTTTCTAGAGGCTCACATAAAAAATACCTGGACTTTTGCTATCTTCTACTGAAATACACATAATTAGAAGAAATTATCAGTTAGGTGCCTTTTAAAATGAATTGTATTCAGTTAGTCAGCACAACTGCACACATTTTGAAGATAGAAACACATATGTGTATGATTTATGCTTAGTTTGGTTTGGTTTTTGAGTTTTAGCAAGGGCCTCTATTCAGCTCAGCTGGCCTCAAACTCTCTGTGTAGCCCAATTTGGCCTCGAGCCTCCTGCCTTGGCCTCCCTAATGCTGAGATTACAGGAATGTGTTCAGGACATGTATGTTAAAATATTATCCAATCTAGAAACAATGCCTTGACACATATTTGGGTAAATTTAGGATAATTTTGCAACAATTCTAACCCTATATGTCCTAGGCTATCAATTTAGAACCACTAGATGGGAGCATTCATATAGTTAATAATCCTCAGATTCTTTGGGGAACTTTCACATTATGTGGAAAGATAATCATGATATTACTATATCTGGCTGTAGAAGAAGTCTTACCTTTATTTTATTCACTATGTTTTCAAAAGGGATAATTTAACTGCAAAAGCTGGACAGCTTAGCTTTCTGATCATACCCTCCTGCCTAATGCTGTTTCCCACTCCTCCTGCCAGCTGCTGCTCCTCTCCAGCCACTGCCCCTGAAAACAAAGCCAGGCTGCCCTTGCTCAGTGCCTGGGTCACCCCTCTACATTTTTCCACTAGTTTGGCACATTGATTTATTGATGAACAAGAGAAGCAGAAAAGAACATTCGACACCAGGATCTCTTAGAATTAAAGTTCTATTCCTTTCTTCATTAATTTGTATCCATTCCTTGAACAAGTGTGCTTTTTCACCCATGCACCCCTAACATCTGGAACCGTTATTACCTGATACATAGTAGTTATATCATTCTTCCAACAAAAATTTATTTGTTAAGCACCTATTACGTTCTAGCAATTGTCTTACGGGCTGAGGATACAGGATGTCTTGTCCTTACAGTTTTTACTCTGTAATGGGGAAGGACAAACAATAAACAAATATCCACGTTGATGTATACTGTGCTAGGAAGGAGGGGAAGCAATGGAGAATAACAGAAAAGAGAAGCTATATTAATGAATGCTTAAGAAAAGGCTCAAAGAGGAGGTGTCTGACTTTACATGACAATTTCTTCAAGTCATATGGAAGTCAAATGTACTCTATGGTTTGCTATTATTGCTATTATTATTAGCCTAACTAAACATATCACTTTTTAAGAAATTACAGCACTTAGGGATTTTCTACATGGCACACAGTTTTCACTCAGCAGCTCTTAGTTATGACCAACACATTAACCACTGAATGAAACACATTTTAGTTTTATATTACTTTGCTCTATGACCTTTTTTGGGCATTGTTTATCTCCTGGTTATTTTTTTATGAGTCCACGTGTGCAGTTTGGAAAGCCAGCATATGCACATAACACATCTTAATTCTTTTTTATCTTCCTTTCTCCCTGCGTACCTCTTGACTCACCAGGGTGTGCAAACACTACCTAGCCCCCATTGATTTGAGCCTGGGTGAAGTTCTGGCTGCTTTGGTCAGAAGAGGACTTTAGAGCCAGATGCCTATTGCTAGGCGGAGTGACCCAGTAGACTAGATCCTGTGGGGAGGAGTCTCTATCTTCCACACACAGGTCACCTGTGGTTATCTCAGTGACAGAGTTCACCCCACCTAAAAAAGAAGCTCACAGCCCTTTGAGGATCAACTGCAATCACATCATGTTAATAAACAGGATGGCAATGACACCTTCGCACCTTGTATGAATATTTTAACTGAAACAATCCATCAGAGGTTTGAAAGCATGAGGTTTCTTAATTCAAAACAGATACATAATTACAAGTCAAATGAAATGTGATATATTTAATTTATTAAGCTTATGAGACTTCAAAAATAGTATAATTATTTATTCAAAATTAATTATTACAGTATATATCCACATATCTAAAGTATAATAAAAATACAATCTATATTCTAGGAACCTTTTAGTGCTAAGTACTTTAAATGGAACCTCAGATAATATAGAATCTATTTGTTGGGTTGGCTTAAGGATTTCTACTCACTGCTTTAAGAAATAATTGATTTCAGATTCTAAATATTTGAGGGGGAAACATACACACTGTATGACATTTTTTTTTTAATTCTCTTCATTCTACCTTGCATAAGAAAGCAAAATACCTGGTTTTGTTTTCCTTGTAAGGTTTGCTGTATTTCTAACTTACATCTAAAATGGTACCACAGTTACATACTCTACTTAAAATCTATTTACACTGCCTAAACATCTTAATTCAATAATTCATCAGACATTTATTGAGTAGCAATATATTCCAGGAAATGTTCTGCATGCTTACAATGCATCAGTAAGGGCTGGGGATTTAGCTCAGCAGTGTAAGCTCCTGCCTGGCAAGCACAAGGTCATGAGTTCGCTCCCCAGTTCCAAACAAAACAAAATAAAGCAAACCAATGCATCAGTGCACAAAAATCATCATGTGACCTATGTTCTGGCAAAAGGGGACAAAGAAACAGAGATAAAAACAATGGCATAATAAGAAATGAACTACATAGTCTGTTACAAAGTCAAAACACTGAAAAAAATGAGGGATGTTAAACAAGAGGTTCACTAAAGGAAAGGCTGGGAGAGGAGGAGGAGGAGCCATGAGAATATGTGACTATCCAGGGAGGAGTCAGACAGACAGGCAAGGTAAACAGCCGTGTGGTGGGGGTAAGTGGCCCCAACCGTGGGTGAGCAGTAGTAGAGGTTACTGTAGTATGATGTGGTCAAGATAAGCAAGATGCAGCATAAAAGAACATGAAGCAAAAACATAATGGAAGGTCAAGCCATTCAGGATCTCGCATGCCACTATGGCTTGTCCCTCAGGGCAATGGGGAATCAGCACAGGGCGGTGGGTGAAAAGGGATCTTTTTGGTTTCTGATTCAAGAACACACTGTGAGCAGGGCCAGGTGTTAGTGGGCAGTGACAATCATCCCAGAGAGAAATGAAAGAAGACAGTGCTGAGGTGATGAGGAGTTCACGTCCAGGTGACTGCTGGATAAAGCCAACATCCTTTTCCCAGAGGTCAGAACCTCAGCAACAGGGAGTTCCCGTCTGGTAAATGAGGAAGACTGCAGGTTGACTGGACTTGAGGAATAGGATCAGGAGTTCAGTTCTGAATGTGCTGCATTTAAAATGCTTCTTTGGACAATGAACCACATCTGATGTAATAGGCTGGTCAGAGAGTTTCTGTAATCATGCAGTCACATGATACTTCACTAACACTAAAAACAAGTGGTTTTATCACTAACTCAATTTTCACATTTCTATCTGCATTTTTTTTCTTACCCACAGAAACACTGTGTGCACATTCCTGAGTTCGTGTATCCTCTTCTACGCTTTTTACCAACACACTTAAAACTTCAATCCTAAGGTATTTAGTAGATAAGATGCCTGGCTAAGGAAACTATTTTCCCGAAGAAAACAGGCAATTTATGAAGTAACTTAATGCATGCCCACTCACCATCTATTAACTAAACACAGTTTTGAAAGTGAGGTCAGGATTCCTATGTTTTTATATCAGATATGATAGAATGAGCAGACAAAAATCCGTTTTGATTGCTTTTAATGCTCCAATTACTGATAGCGCACACATGCAAAGCCTGCTTTGTGAATCACTTCCTAGTGTTTTGAAAGTTAACAGCTGCAATCATTAAGTTATTGTACATAACTAAATACCTCCCCCCCCACACACTAGCACTTACACTTCCAAATGAATGTACAATTCTTCAAAGTTTCAAAGTAACTATGTTGAAGAACACATGCCAATAACAATAGTACTGCTCAAATATTTTTTCTTTTGAAATTATTTTCTGGTTTTTCAAAAACATTTGATTGTTTTTATACAGTGGGTTCAAGTTTGCCATTATTAGCTATATAATTAATGGCAGGCACATTTCTTAACTTCTTTGGGTCTCAATTATCTCATTGATAAACTAGGAATAAGGGAGTTATTGCATTTCACTGAGGGCTGTGTTTTGTTTGCTTTGCTGGCACGCTGGGAACTGACCTCAGTGCCTCTCACATTCTAGACAGCTGTTTTACCACTGTGCTACACTGCCAGTTTAGTTGTGACCTTTTTGTATTATTTAAATTATTCTGACTGTGATGATTACTGTTACTGAAACTATTCTGTAACACACACTGTGGACTTTGTTTCATTTCAAGCATCCATAACAAGTTGAGTAGTCTATCTGTTTATTGATAGTGTTGGACCAATGCTCCTAATCCTGTAATTTGGAATAGGCTCACTGGAAATTTTCAGTGCTAAGCTCTAAGGATATCAACTTTTTAAGAGCTACCACAAGTGCAATCAATTTACTATTTAAATTATAAGGTTTTAGCTTTTATTTAACACGTTGAAAGGCTAAAATGTGTGTAGAATATACAAGTTGACCTTTTTGTTTGTTTGTTTATTTGTTTGTTTTAGTTGGCCTGTTTAACAGATTACCAAGCCCACTCATTTTGGCCTGTCACTTTTCATATTTTAAAATCCATCTACACATTTTTTTCTTACTTCTTCACGGGCTCAAACTGAGTTGGAAATGTGCTGCCATTTCTTTCCTATAGCAGGCACTTATTTTTTCCGACACTGAGCACAGGAGAGCTAGACAAAGCATGTTTTCCACTGAGTTACTCTAATGGAGAACACTGCTTTTCCCTTCTTGCCTCTTCCAAAACAAATGGAAAACCCGCCACTGAAAGCAGGAGGTGATACGTTCAAGTCTTCATTTCAGTTCAAATCAAATTTAGTTCAATTTACAGTTCCATTGCATTAGGGGAAGTTTGATTTAGTCCCTTGTACTTGGTAACACAAATTTCAATATATTATATTCATTACCATATTCATAAACTTCATTATACTATAGAAAGTGACAACAGCCTCTCACTTGAATTCAAATTTAAAAGTAACTCAAAGCCCAAGAAATAATTGTTCAAACAATAAAAATCTGAAAACATGAATCCAGGTAACATAACTTTAAAATTCACCAATAGCTTTAAGAGGAAATAGGTGGGATTTAGAAACTATGAGTCCATTCAATCACATTATAATTGCAATGTTTAAAGAATAAGACTCCTGCTTTGTGTTTCATAGGAAGGATGTGAAATTTTCAAGAATTTACAGTCTCACTGCTTGGCTGCTGTAGGACTGTTATTTCAGATTTTTCAGGTTTTATTTTTTCCACTGTCCCTAGTGTTTAAGCCCTCTTTAATGACGAGCATTTTTCAAAAGCAAATAGAGCTCCAGGTTGCATAGCTCAGTGGTAGAGTGCTTTCCTAGAATATGTGTGGCTCTGGGTTCAAACAACTAGCACCATAAAAACAAACAAACAAAAAAGAAAATGATCCTATTTTAAGTGTAAAAACAAGGTAAAATATACAGTATTATAGAAAGAGATACAGTACATGAAAAATAGGAAAATGAAGCCCCCTTGTGGACACAAATATATTTTATCAGGTAAACAAAAATCACAGGCTGTTTGAATACAAATGTACTCAGTAGAATGTATTTCAGAGTAAACCACGGAGGATTCATCCACAATGGCCTAACCCCAATTACTAATTCCAGTTTGTCAGGGCACAATGCTCCCCTGTAACACTGAATGGCCTTAGGGACAGCCAGAAGTTCTGTGGCTTCAGGCAGTGTTTTCCTATATCAGTAGAAAAAATTGCACTTGAAACACTGTGAAGAGAACTTAATGTTCAGATTTTTGGCTATGAACTTAACGCAGAATGTGGGATGCTATCAGAGGCTCTAGTCCCAAAGTCCCAACTCTTTCTCCCAAGCAGACTGCAAGTGGATTTGCTACTACCTGTTGCAGGCCCTGATAGCCAGACCAAATGGTCATGGAGAAAATCAGATGTCCTGAGAAATGCTGGTTCGAGGCCAGAGACGGCATAGAATCTGGAGGCTACATGGGAGTCACATTTGAAAAACTCCCTTCGCTCCAGATTCTGCCACTGTATCTTTGCAGGCAAGTCACTTATTTTTTCTACTTCTAATTTTGTTTTCTTAAATGGAAATAAGAAGCAACCAGCAACCATAATTGGGGAAAGCAATTATTGAAAATGCATTCTCTCCGTTCTCTTACTTTGATAAAATGAATATACTTCTGTATACATTAGCTCTCCAAAGTGTTAATAAACTTGACAATTCTCTAATAATATTAATAGTAAAGGCTATCAATTTATTAAAACTCCCTGCAATATGACCAATAGGCATAGTCTTTCCAAGAGATTTTTAAAGTGCATTTGCCATTATTATTATTATATATTCTAGTACATAACACAGAGTTCTTATACTCCAATTAAAAAATCAGGAGCAGAAAACAAAAGGATGACTTTGATGTTGTAAACTATCCACAGAGACTTTCAAAATTATCAACATCAACTGCTGTCTGTTTCTGGGCTTTCTTTTCAAGTCAGAATGTTGAGATTGATAGTAGACAATGTGATTAATGAGTTGCAGTCCCCAAAACTACATTTTCTTAAAAGCCTTTAAGCAATCTCATTCACATTGTATTATATAGCATAAGAAAGAAATGTTGATATTATATACCCTCATCTATTCCCTTTTACCTGGAATATTTAAAATTCTATAATTTTATTTTTCTTTCTTCA